AATGACAATTCAAATTTTTATATGTATATAATTTTTAACATATATATATATATAAAACTATCTACTGCGCATCAGTCTTCAGTCTAGGTGTGTTGCGAAAAATAAATGAATTAAACAGAGGGGAAAAAAACCCTTACTTGTATAAGTTTCATTCTAATCAGAGGGAGTAGACAATCAAAGTAAAATATAGTTTGTTAGATATTGACAAGTGCTAAAGAGACAAATCGGAATCCTTGGGTGATGCCAATGTCTAAGTGCTAACAGAACTGTAGGCTATTGGAGTTCCCACAGAACCACCTTGGACGAAGGCTGGGGATCTCTGTCAAAATAAACAACCACTGAAAAGTCTTGGGAGTACTCTTCCATGCTGACATACATGGGGTGGCCATGAGTGGGTAATTGGTTTGGGTTTGGGGAGACAAAAATTGCTGCTACTTCTGCGTGCACCATGCCTGCCCTCAATTTCCATGACTTTCTCTTTTGCCTGCTCCTTTTCCTAAATGCCATCTTCTCAGTGATGCCTCCCTGACCACCCCTTGAAAACCACAGACAGATGTCTTGAAACAACTGCGGGATAATTGTGTCTCATGCATCTGACTCTACTGTCTATTATGTTCCCTTTCCTCGCCCCACTTGCTCTTCCTCAGAGAGGGTGTGGTGGTCAGTTGATGGACAATTTCCCCATTCTCCTGTGCCTATTATCTTTAAACTCCAAGCATGATCTCCAGGACTTACAACCCCCTATTATAGAGAAATTCACATACAGTCCCATCACCTGGAACTGGATGTGAACAGAGGGCCCCTCCATTTTTAGAAAATGTTTTCTTCTTTTTTAATCCAAGGTGATTAAAGCATCTGAGGGGGGAAAATCTTTATTAAAGTAACTCTTAAATAGCATATAGCATATAATTTAAAGTCTTGCAAACCCCATATAGCGTTGCTATGAGTCAGAATTGACTGGATAATTATGGATTTAAAAAAAATAGTATAAAATTAAGATATAATTTAGAACTATAAGCCATGATCCCCCCCGCCACTACCCCCCCTAGGAATATATGCTACAAGAGATGTGCAAGACATGACTTTTTCCTTCTTTTCTTAGGAAAATATGCTTTCAGGGACGGGCAGACATGGGATTTCACAGCCATTGGAATTCACTCTTTGTTTTACATCTCCATTAACTCCATTTGTGTGTTAGTCTGGGTAGGCTAGAGAAACAAATTCACAGACACTCATATATGCACAAGAAAGAGCTTTGAGAAAGCATCCCAGCCCTGTCCAGTCCAGATCAAGTCCATAAGTCCAATATTAGCCCATACGTCTGATACCAATCTATAAACCCTCTTCAGACTCATGCAACACAAGCAATGATGCTGAATGCAGGACGATCACAGGTCAGTGGATGGAGAGTCTTTTGGATCCAGTGGCAATGGAAACATCTCAGCACTGGCAGGGGTCTCCACGTGGCTCCTTCAGCTCCCATCCTCTGGCTCTAGCATAGCTCCCTGTCTCTTCTCAACAGAAATGTCTCACAGGCAGTGTGTGTGTGTCCCACCTACAGTGAGTGACTTATCTCCTTAGTGCCTCCAACTAAGGTCATCAAGCTGCGACCAGATTGACAGGCTAAAGTCTCAAGTTGACATCAGATGATGTAACTACCACATTGTGCTTCTATTTTTGTTAAAATTTAGCAGTTGCTTTAATTTCCTTTAGATTTAAATTTATTTTTTGAATTATAAACCCAGCTGGTGTTTGATATAATTCTGTAGTTGAAACAGTTAAATAAGGTGCATCCAGAAGATGTGGTTTTGATCTGCATGTTGTCTTTCTATGGGTGACCATCTCTATTAGTGTTTGACTTATCCTGCCAGCTTTTCTTTTGAAAATATAAGCAAATATATACAGATCTCTATATTTCTCTCCTTTAATGTACAAAAAGAAGGTTGATACACCCATGCATTGCCCTATGTCTTTTACTGTCATTATAGTGTAAGGCAACCAAGCAGAGGCCTTTCCCTTATTCCTTTTAAATCAGCATGATATTCTAGAGTATAGATGTACCATATACAGGTCCTCCCCCACTTGCAATGGGATTCTGTTCTTATAGTTCCATGGTAAGTTGGTCCTGATGTAAGTCAAGTACCTTTTGTTTTGTTTTTCATCATTACTTTATATTATCAATGTCTTTATAAATTCTAGATGAATCTTTGTCTTTTGGGGTTGGAAGCATTACATATAAACATCTGCAAGTAAGCTTCTGGGAGGGGATAGCATCAACATTGTGTTAGTCAGGGTAGACTAGAGAAACAACTCCATGAACACACATATGTGTATAAGAAAGAGATTTACATACAAGAGCAATTGAACATTGAGAAAACATCCCAACCCAGTCCAGATCAAGTCCATAAGTCCGATATTAGCCCATATGTCGAATACCAATCTATAAAATCCTCTTTAGACTCATGAAACACATGCAATGATGCCGAATGCAGGATGATCACAGGCCAGTTGGTAGAAAGTCTTTGGATCCAGTGTCATTGGAAACATCTCAGAGTTGGCAGGCCTCTCTGTATCGGGGTGGGTCCATGTGTCTTATCAGCTGCTATGTCTCCCAGGGTGTGAGCAGCAGAGAAACAATGTCTCCCACCTCCAAGGAGGAAGTACGAGATTTCCCAGAATTCTCAGGAGAAGGCCAAGTCCACACAGAGACCACATTGGCTATGATCTGATTGACAAGCTAGACTGCACCCCTACGCTCTTAATCCCCAAATTGACACGCGATTATTTATCTACCACAAACATATTACATGCTCTAACACTGTAGACAGTACAAACTATTAACAATAAGAATTGTCCAAACCTCAAAACAGACAGTCATAAGTGATGCCTGTTGTAACTTGAGCAGGCTATTAGTCAGGAACTGCCTGTATGTGCAAAGGTTGTACCTTATTTTTTAGAGTCCCTTCTGAACCTTCAAATACCAAAGAATCAAATATGATTTTCATCCTTTGAGTATTTATCAAATGCCTTATACATAGCCACTGACAGTGTTTCAATAATAAAAGATCTTATTTTCAAGATTAATTTTATTTTCAGCTCCCTTGAAAACAGGTACTACATTATCTTTGTGAATCCTTATTATGTCTTCCCCAGGTCTTTCTATATAGCTTATATTTTAACTTAATATTTTCTCTCTCCCTTCTCTGCTGTTATAAAAAAAAATGGGGATTTGCTGCAAAGACAATAACAGAAGCAAAGGTACAGACATACAATTATACCACTCCTCACTTATTGATATGGTTATGTTCCAAAGACCAGGTCATTATAGGAAAATCAGTATAATACAAAGCTAAAGTGTGACTACAAATCACAAAATGGAGAGTGAGTACATCATTAAGTAGCTGACAAATAACATCATTATGTAACTGCCAAATCACTGGGAATTATGGCAAGAAAACCTTAACATCACAGCCAGCATTTCCCTGCCCCTCAGCATTCATTACTGTGCAAAATAGCCAGATTATAGGTTTTTTTTTTTAATACTATTGTTACAAATGTAAAAAGTTATCTAACAAGATAGTCAATAAGTGAGGAAAAGGTATATAGGAATTTCTTAAGCTGAAAGAACTGAAGAAATAATTTAAGACTTGAATTTCAATACTGAAGCATTCTTTGGGTAAAACATTGAATGGTACAAAAACAAAAACCAAAAACAACCAAAGAAGATGAAAGGAATTCATGAGTCATTATAGTAACAGTAGATTCTTTACTATTACTTGTCAAAACATCCACCTCTTTCAAGAGGTAGTAAATACTCAAGAACGGATGGTGTTGAAAGAAGAAGCCCAAGCTACAATGAAGGCACTGACATTGGCCAAAAATAAGGTTCCAGGAATTGACAGAATAACCCATGGGTGCAATGGTGGAAAGCTCTCAAATAGATGGATCAACACAGTGGTTGCAACAGTGGTCTCTAACACAAGAACATATGGCCCAGGACCAATCGTTGTTTTGTTCAGTTGTACATAGGACCACTATGCATAGGAACTGACTTGATGGCACCTATCAGAGTGTATAGATTTATAGGGGTTGGAAACTGTGTTAGGCCAGGTTGACTAGAGTAAAAAATCCAGTGACACTAATATATGTGTAAGACAGAGCTTTATATCAAGAAGCTTTTTATATCAGGAAAATATCCCAGTCCAGCCCAACTCAAGTCCATAAATCTGATACTAGTGCATAAATCCATCTTCAGACTCACACAGTCACAAGCAATGATACAGAATACAGGAATATCACAGGCCAGTGGGTGCAAAGTCTTGTGGATCCAATGGCAGTGGACACATCTCTAGGGCTCTGACCACCATCGGGGTCAGACAGCAGGAAGGTGAAGGCAGAGAGAGGTGGTAGGGGGGAGGTTCCTAGGACCCTCCTTATAATAAGGCCTTGCCCACAAGGAGATGCCATCAAGGTTGTAACGTCATTGGCTGGTTGATACTACCCCTACACTATTATATATCTTCAAGTTGACATTAAATTATGTAACTACCACAGAAACAATTCCTAACTGCGGAGAACCTGGAAGAAGTACGGGAAAGTGGGAGAAGACAAACTTGCTTCAGAATAAGAGTGAAGGTAGATTCCATCCAGTCCAAGACCAGTACTATTTGGTGACCTGAAGTCAAGCAGAGAGGAGTGAATACACGGCTCTCTGAAACCCTCACAAATTTAGAACTTCTGCAAGCAAAACCCGATGAAGGAGGAAGGACTAGCTAGTGTTATGTTTCAGAACAATAACAGCTTGAATTGAAAGGTTGTCAACACTGCATTACCCTGGCAAAGCCCTACCCTAGTTGGCAGTTTCTGGATCTGCTTGCCACTCTCTTTCAAGGAAGTACGTTTGGCTGCACCCAGCATTTTTTCCTACGTTTCCCGATTTTTAACTCCCTCATTCTCTCCAAGTGGGGACTGAAGTCTTGTTCTTCCTTCAATTTTTCTAGAAAAGAAAGGCACCGAGCTAACCAAGCAGCTGGTGGACCTAAACATTTCTATTCACGACCTTTATTTCCTGTATGGCTTAGACACCATGTCTTTCCTCTGCATAGACCCCCGCTTACCATCACACTCTCTGGCCTCTGCTGCCTTCAAGGTCATGAATTGTAAGACAATAGAGTTCGCAGCAGCTATAGGAGAGACTGCGTGAAGGTTGGGGTGAACACTACTCAAAGGTAATACATCCATATGAATATAATTATACAACACCTACATGGAAAGGAAGCTGACCTGCTGATGTAACGTCTTGCAATTTAATAAAGGACCAAGATATCTTCTATTACTGTCACGTGATGAATGAGAGTATCGAGAAGGACCTATGAAAATATCTTTTTACATCTTACGTCTGTAGTTCTGTGATTCATAACTACAAACAAGTTTAGGCTTCAACAATTTGGCAACAACAGAGGATCTCAGTGCCAATAATCTGCATGAAGAAGGTTAATTCTTGCTCTAGAAGCCTGCTCTTGGTCTTGGTGATGTATACCAGGGCTTGGTATCTCAGTACAATGATTAAAAACTGTTTCATGAATTTCTTAGTGCATTTAATGTGAGAACACTGCCCTCCCAGCCAAAGCTTTTCTGTCTATCAGGTTACCAACCATCTGTATAATTTAAGTGTGAGACGTCTGTGCAGATGGTGAGGGCAGAGAATGAATTACAGAGGCAAGGCTGGGTTCCGCTATGCAAAGCTGGAACTCAGAGCTGAGCTGCCAGGGAACTGGAGGGGTGGGGCAGAGAAACAGTGAGTTCACATTTCAAATTGCCAAGAAAAATCTTATAGCAGCAAGGTGAAGTGCATAGCTTCTTTATAATATGGGACTGCATACATTTATCAAGCAGGAATAGAAGCTGTCTTCATCCCTTCCTGTCTTTGTGGATTTATCATAAATGTTAAACATATCGTTTTACCCTTGGCCATCAAACACGTTCAAGCTTTCATGCCTCTTTTCTGCCAATAGCAGTGGCTGCCTTGATGCAAAATGGCTGAGTGATGGGCACAATCCTTCATTCTTAAGAGGGGGCTAGATTCTCTAATGCCCTGGTAGCTAAGACGTGTTCCTAAGGTTTTGTTTAGTTCCTCCAATGCTAAATGCCTTAGGCAAATATAAACAGGCGCTCTTACCCTCTTTTGGAATTTTTAAAAAGGTGAAAGTAAATCCTAATTGAATTTCCTGCTACGTAGGAGAGAGGATCAGCTTCCATTCCACACCCCACGGTCAGTGCTGCTGCACCTGGCGGTGCATTTGACGGACTGCACCAGACACTTGCTACGGGGAGGGAGGAGAGGTTGAACCTAAATGTAAATTCTGCTTAGCAACCTCTGAGCCCTGCAAAGGCTCAGTTTTCTGCATGCAACATCCCCCTTCCCCCCTACTCCCACCCCCAACCTTATTGTTTTCTTGCTCACTGATGCCTTTTGTTTGCCATTCCCTTTGAGACAAGTGCTGCATCTACCCAGAAGGGGTGCCCAGAAGGTGGTCTCTGTTCAGTTCCCACAAAGGTGCTGTCAGGGCTGATAGCCAACCCTGAGCTGAGCATCATTGAGGGAAAATGTGCCCATCAACAGTTTCAATTTTGCAAATAATGAAGGTGCACCAGCCCCAAAGCCCTTCTTTCCCAACCTGATTTCGCTACTCAAGCACAGTCGAGGTTGTAAAATGTAAGTGACACAAGCATTATTTCCAGATCACCAT